AGAGAATCCAGAAATAAACCCCAAAGTTTATAGTATACTAATTTTTGACTAAGGATACCAGTAAATCCATTGGGAAAAAGAAAACCTCTTCAGCAAATGGTGCTGGAAAAATAGGGTATTCACCTGCAGAAAGATGAAAATGAGCTCCCATCTTTAACCATTAACAAAAGTCAACTCAAAATGAATCAAAGATCTGAACCTAAGACCCCAAATTAAGACTACTGGTGGAAAACACTGGGGAAACTCTGGGAGTTATTGGAGTAGGCAAAGACTTCTTAAATAAGACTCTTTGGGAGTCTGTGCTTTGGGCACAGAAATAATTGCTAAAATAGTGGAGTGGGACTATATCAGACTAAGAAGTTTCTGCACAGTAAAGGACACAGTAACAAGTGTGAATTGACATCCCTCAGATTGGGAAAATATTTTTTGTAAAACATGCCTCAGACAAAGGACTAATAACCAGAGTACACAAGGAACTCAAGTGGCTTACCTGGAAAAAAAAAATGATTAACCCAATTAAAAGATGGGAAAATGAGCTGAACAAAAATCTAAGGAAGACATATGAACAGCCATAAGCATATGAGTGATAAGTGTTGGCAGGGATGTGCTGAAAGGGGACCTCTCCTATACCATTGGTGAGAATGTGAACTGGTTCAGCCACTGTGCAGAACAATATGGAGGTTCCTCAAAGATCTACAAATAGAACTACCATATGATCCAGCAATCCACGTCTTGGGTATCTACCCAAAGGACAGGAGAATGTTCAGTCAGAAAAGTGCTTCCACATCAATATTTATTGCAGTAATATGCACGATCACTAAGACATGGAACCAACCCAAATGTCCACGAACAAATCAATGGATTGAGAAAGTATGGCACATATACTCTGTGGAGTACTACTTAGCCATAAAAAAGAAAAAAATCCTGGCATTTGATTTTAAGTGGTCAGATATGAAGGATTTATTGCTGAGTGAAGCAAACCAGGCTATGAAAGAGAGATATTCTATGTCTCTACTTACTATATACTGACTGTTTGTACTCTCCGGTACATGTTGAAAGACTGGAGGACATAAAAGCTATAAAAATAGTTAAGGATGGTGGAGACCATGTGGAAGGATAGTGTAAGATGGGAAGAGTACAGGGAAGAAAATCAGGGAGAAAAAATAGAGAGGCAAGAGATTTGTGGAACACATAACTGGTTTATTACCTATTGATGATAATGTGCTTAGTATTCTCACCTGGAGTAATCTGAGATGTATTTCATGTTTTTCATGTTGGGTAAATTCTCTTTACAAGCCAAATAATGTATAGCAATCAAATGTTTTTTTAAAAAGAATAATAATGATAAATGTAAAAAAAAAATAAAATTGTGTGGTGATTAAGGTGGCTGGATCCCACATGGTCAACTGCAGCTCGAGTCTCAGACCTGGTAGTTTGAAAATCACACTGAATATGTGTGCATAAGTGCCCCAAATTCCAGGTGGAGAATGGAAGAGAAAGGATTACAGTGTGGCTATTCTCCTTGGAGAATGATTTCTCACTTTCTGTCTCACTGTCCCTCTCTCTCTCTGTTTCCCTATAGTGAACATACACATTCATAACAAAAAAAAACTAAAAAAAAAAAAAGTAACAAAGGATTGGAGACAAAATTGTTATAGAAAAACTGACTGGACATTTCAAACTTGGCCAAGGTTGAAAATAATGCCAGGTTGATAACAATCTGAAATTTATTACTGATCATGAGACTCTTTCTCAGTAAGATGACACAGTATGTACATTTTAGTTGTGTTTCTAGATTTTCCAGTAAGATCCTGACAAAGAGTCAGTAATTGAATTTCTGCTAACAGGGCTTACATGGCCTTTCTGACCATTTAAATTTCCAAGAATAGGACTGCTCCTGAACCCTTAATATTATTCTACCCCTCATGGCTCTAGCTAACAGCCAGTGTCCATGTGATCACAGTGGCCAGTAGGACTGTACTTGTTCTATTCCATCTCCCCATGTGACAGCTCTAAGTATACACCTTCCTCCCTCCTTGGTTAAAGCAGCTGCTGTCACCCTGTGCTCTATTCAGACTGCACAATCTATTTCTGAGAATGTTTTCCAAGGTTCAAGAGCCCTGAAAAGATTTCAGTCCCCTGAAATCTACCTTTACTGACACACGAAATTGCCCAAAGATAATTAATCACAGTATGGTCCTTGAATCTTTCTCTGAAGTAGGTGATAGCAGAGACATAGATCTATGTAAAGTATTATCAGAGAAAATAATAACAATGTCCGCAACTATGGACACATCATCTACACTGCCAAGTACCACTTACTAAAGTCTTTGAGACTTACTATGTGTTCAATACTGAACTAAGGGCTTAATGATCTAATGCAATTAATCCCAGACATCCTCAATTAAAGAGAATTCAGAGAGTCTCAGAGTTTGACTTTCCCAAGGTACCAGTGCTTGTACAGAGGAAGGTAGAAACAGACTTAAGATTGAACTTCATCAATTCTTATTCATTAATAAATTCATTCATGCCTAAGTGCATATAACTAAACATGGCCATGTATAACTAATGTCACTAAGAAAATACAGAGTGCAGCTCCATGAATATAAACAGTACATGTCTCCCTCCACCCACTTCCCAGATCAAGATGCGCATACCCAGGCTTTTCTTTATCAGGGCCATGCTCCACCCATCAGTGTTTTAAGCCATTCTAGTTCTGTTTGTTTTGTTGTTTTTTTTTTTTTTTAAGGCAGATTTTTTTGCTATAGAGTACATGCAACTCACCAGAGTGACAAAGAGAGACAGAGAAACAAAGAGCAAGAAATTACCCTCTCCCTTTTCCTGATTCTCCTACTGAGGTTTTGGGCATTCATGCACATGTGCATGGCATGAGGGTTTTTTTTTTAAAAACTACTGGACCTGGAACTTGAACTCCATTGACTATGTGGAAGTCAAGCAAAGTAACCATTCTGCCATCTGCTGCCCCCTACCTTTCCTATTTTCTATCACATTTATCAATTTCTTCATTCTTACACTTTATATAAATGGAATCATACAGTATCTACTTTTCTTTTTTTGCCTTAGGGCACATGCACTCGCCAGGAGAGTGAGAGAGAGAGGGTGAGAAAGCAAGTTGCCAGGTTCAGGACAGGAACCATAGTCAGCTATATGAAAATCCAGTGCTATAACAACCATACCAACTCCCGCCCAACCCCCACCCCATACAGTTTCTACTTTTTAGTGTCTTGTTTCATTTGCTCAATATGTTTTTTGAACTAAATTTATTTTGTTACTATGGAAATCATGTGTTCTTTTTTTACTGTGGAAAAAATTATATTTTCTATGAATATAGCACCTACTTTTTTTCAATTAATGACTTCTTTGCATATTGAGATTGTTGAAATTTTAGGAATATACGTTTAGATGTCATTTCTCTTGGGTATATTTCTAGGAGTAGACATGCCTTGTCTTAAGGCTGGCGTAAATTTTGCTAAAGTAAACACTGCTCCTAATTTGCAACAACGCTCACACATTCATACTCAAACAACCATGTAAGAAAATTTCCAGTTGCTGTCAATCTTCTCTTAGAACTGTCAAACTGTTTTTTATAACTACTTGATAAATCTGAAGTGATACCATGATTAAAACTTACACTTCCCTCATAAGAATTTATACTGTGTAAATTTTCATGTATTTATTTTTCTTTCACACACACATATGGTTTTGAACTTCTTGATAATAGTTTAGTCTAATTCATATTTTTTCTCCTTGTGTGTGTGTGTGTGATTATGTGTGTCTTACACTCAATAAATCTTGCCACCTTCAGGACCTAAAGATGATCTTGTATGCTTATGTTCTAGAGTATCTTTTATTTTTTTATTTCTCACATGTGGGCTATGATATAGCATTTATTCCTAATTTGGCTAGTACGAAGGAGGTCAAGAGTTTTATTTTTAAATCCATATATATAGAAAGAGGGCCCCACTCTCCTCTCTTTCCACACTGCTGCACCCACCAGGGAATTTGCATACTGTCCCCTAGGGAGCACCTTTTTTTGCAAGTCTAAGATAAAAGTCAGCTCTGATCTCTGGACTGCTCAGGACTCCCCAGTTCAGCTCTCAACATGAGGTTCCCTGCCCAGCTCCTGGGGCTGCTAATGCTCTGGGTCCCAGGTGAGGGCACAGATGGCTGGAGGAGGAGAATGGGTGGAAGAGCGAGTTGTGCATCCCCCACTGCATCCCTTCTCACGTGAGCTCTGTCATGTGTGAGATGTGCCCGACTTGTCCTCCAGGAAGGGACATCAAAGGTTTAGGTCTGTGACAGTGAGAAAGGTTCCAGAAGGAAAAAGGACCTGTAGCATGGTGAGGATAGTCACACAGAAATTAGGTTTGGTATAGGAGATTTATAGAGGCCTTAGTGGGGCTTGCAGATCTTGGATCCTTTTCAGAAATTAGTATTTTGTTGTAACAATCAAAATGTCAAGAAGATTATACAGCCTGAAATTTTTAAAATGCTTGTATATAACCTTGCATTTCTCTCTCATTATTTCAGGATCCAGTGGGGATGTTGTGATGACCCAGACTCCACCCTCTCTGCCCATCATCCCTGGAGAGACGGTCTCTATCTCCTGCAAGTCTAGTCAGAGCCTCCTACACAGTAATGGAAACACCTATCTGCACTGGTTGCAGCAGAAGCCAGGCCAGGGTCCACAAGGCCTGATATACGACGTTTCTAACAGGGACTCTGGAGTCCCAGACAGGTTCAGTGGCAGTGGGTCAGGGACAGATTTCACACTCAAAATCAGCAGGGTGGAGCCTGAGGATGTTGGAATTTATTTCTGTGTACAAGGTACACACATTCCTCGCACAGTGATACAGCCCTGAACACAAACCTCCCCGCCTGGAGTGGCCCAGCTGCCCTCATGTGCTCTCTGGGGAGCAGCACAGCAGCCCCTCCTATGTAAGAGGAAGGTGCTGGAGAGCTCAGGGCACTAGGTGGCTGCTGTCTGTTACACAGGTGCCCTGCCCACAGCTCAGGCTCCAGCCATCTGTGGCCCTGTCAGCTGCAGCAGCATTAGTCTAGAATCTAAGGCAGAAGGACAGAGTGGTCTTATCAGGGTGAGAGGACATGATCATGTGATGATTCTTAATGGAACTGAATGAAAGCTCATCCTAATCTTTCCTCCCTCCTTATATTTGCTAATTCAGATTAATCCTTGTAAATGAGAGAAATGAACATGTTGAGTATATCTTGAACTTTATCAGTTTTTTTTTATCCTGATAGGATATTGACTAATAGTCAGAAATGGTATTTTTCCACTTTCACAACTCCCTACTTTTCATGTTTACTGTCTGCCCACTGTTAATATCAGAGAGACAGCATTCTACACACACCCTTTTTAAGAGGAGCTATCTGAGGACACTTAAGAATAATCTTGGTTGCTGAAAATTCAAATAGACTTTTGTAAATTCACAGCAGATTCAAGATGCTAATGCTAAAATTCTTTGATTTGTACAATTCCCCATGGCTGCCACAAAAGAGAAGTATTTGATATTCCTAAAATTGTGTATTAAAAGTAAGACCAAAGGGTCAGCTCAATGACCTGATGGTTAGGAAGCAGTATTTCCACATGGCCAACCACAGTCTGAATTCTGGACTTTGCAGCTGCAAAAAAAAAAAATTTTGATGAGTGTGCATGTGTCGCTCAAAATTCTTGGATGTTGAAAAGAAGATAATGGATGGCTGTCTGATAGGTTCCCATTGGAGGTGATGCATTCTCCATCCCCCACTTTCTCTCTCTGTCCTTTTGGGTGAGAGTATATCCTCTGCTGATAAAAAAATTAAAATATATAAAACATAAATAAGGCGATCTGGTGCCCATCTTTACCCCATGTTCCACTGGAAGAATGCCACATGATAATTTTTGAAGCCAGGAATGAGAACAATAAAGGAATACAATGGATGTGAGCTTTGGGAAAATTCTACTTTTTGGCTTACATTTGGTGGAACTGGGATAGTAGTGGGTGTTGTAGATTGATGATAAACCTGATAATATGAAGCACAGATGTATTTCCTGTGAATAGTCACAGAGTTAAAGGGAACACTGCCTGCCTTCCAAGGATTAGCCTTGTGCACCTGCAAGTTTCATAGAAAGTAGTGAATGAAGAAGGTGGTTAGGTCTGAAATCATTAAAGCTTATGTGACATAGCTGGAGGTTTAAGCAAACAGGGGAGACTGGAGATGGAGATTCACGTGTAAATCAAGGATTGTCTGAGCAGCTTAGGGAGCTGGGGGAATACCCTGAGTAGTTGGGATGTTTCTGCCTTTCTATCCCAGCACCCCAGGCCTACTGCTGACTCTGACCTCAGAGAACGTCAGTGAAAAGCGTTGACCCTGTGTAAGTGTTCACGCTCAGCTGGATTCTCCTTCCCAAGTGGGTTCCTATGTCAGCACCAATAAGAGCCAGTGCCCAACTAAAAATTTGTCACACACTGCAGGAGAACAGAAAGTCAGGTGAACAACAGCTCTCCAGAAAGTTTTCTATTCTCTTGAATTTTAAATGACCAGGGTTCATTTCTCCCATTGTCTTCTGATTTCATTAAAACATAACTTTGAGGGAACCAGCAGTTAGCGTAATGGCTATGTTGCTGGACTCCCACGTAGTCGACCGCGGTTCGTGTCCCAGACCCGGTGGCTTAAAACTCACGCCGGGCGCGTGTGCGTGCGTGCCCAAGATCCCGAGAGGAGAATGGAGGAGAAGGGATTGTGGCGTGACCATCCCCCCGGGGGGTGATTTCTCGCTTTCTGTCTCTATGTCTCTCTCTGTCTGTCTGGCGAGCGCACGCGCCCTACAGTGAAAATCTCTCCAAAAAAAAAAAAGAAAACATAACTTTGAATTTTATTCTTTATATGTATTTTTGTACCTTTAGTAGTGTTCTTTTGGTCTTTTAGTGTCTGTTATTAAACCCGGGAATGGAGGATCCTTTTATTGCTTTAACCTAAATGATGTTTCTAAGATGATGACTTTTGTGTATGCTGTTTTAAAAGAGAAAGAAAAAAACTTGTTAGATAACCAGTAAAGAAATTACTTTCTACCAGTCCCATATTCTAAAATTCCAACAAGTTAGAGAACAGAGGAGAATTGAGGAGGGATGTTTGTGGCATGACTGTACCCCACTGAGAGAGGATGATTGTGGCATGATTACATCCCCCTCTTTCTCATGTTCACTCTCTCTCTGTTTCTCTGTGTGTGTGTGTGTGTGTGTGTGTGCATGTGTGTATATTTCACAAGCACACCAGCATCTTTGGACTCCATCTACTGCAAGTCTAGTTAGAGTTTCCCACACAGTGATAGAAACATCTGCTTTTTCACCTCTTCCTGCACAAGTTAGGTCTATCTTCACAGCTCCCAATCTGTAATGTTTACTGCCAGTTCTCTGGCTCCCAGTCAGAACTGGTGACAGTGGTCAGGAGCAGTTTCACATTGAAAATGGGCAGGATGGAGGCTGACAGTGCTGGGGTTATCACTTCATGTGGGCTCTACCACACCATCCCACTACTCTGGCCTCATACCTCCCCACTTGGCATTAGTTAATATTTAATCCCCGAGGGTGCTCCCACAGCTGTCAGAGCTCAGCTTAATTCTCAGCTGACCAGATGTGTTACTGACAGAGCAGGCACCAGTGAGCATGACATCAAAGAACTCAGGGAAAAATTTGTAGCTGAGGAGTCTGGACCATAAGTGTCTCAGCTGCATCTCAGGTGCCTTCCTTAAGACTCAGTTGTCTGGAAGAGCCTTGATCTGGTAGGACCTGCAGGAGAAGGGAGAGAAGTGTCTATTGCCCAGGTGTCCACTGGGCAATGAGAGAAGATGGAAAGAAAGTTAAATAAAAGTTTCTCTCTTTCTCCTCTCTCTCTCTCTCTCTTAATTTACTGCAACCAGGTAGGCTTTACTTCAGGAATGCAAAGGTGGTTTAACATAGGCAAAACCATAAACTTAATACACCATGTTAACAGAAAGGAAGATAACAACCATATGATCATTTCAATCAATGCACAAAAAGCATTTGACAAAATACAACATTCCTTCATGATTAAGACTCAGTAAAATCAGCATAGAAGGGTCTTTTCTTAACATGACAAAAGCCATCTATGAAAAATCTATACCTAACATTATACTGAATGGGGTAAAGCTAAAGTCTTTTCCACTAAAAACTGATATAAGATAAGGCTACCCACTTTCTCCAGTTCTTTTCTTTCTTTTTTTTTTTTCATATTTTATTCATTCACAAGGATCCAAACTAATCTAAGTACTTTCAATAGCAAGTGTAGTGGATATAAACATATCTGAACACATGTCTGTCTTTAGGAATAAAACTCAGTGAATAGGATGAACGTACTATAAAGTAACACCTAGCTGAGGCTAAATAGCTTACTACAGTCATTATATATGTATATATACATACATATATATATTAATTTCAAGAAAAGCAATTTTAGCTTTAATAAGTCAAAATCCAACAATGTTAAGAAAAATTCGCCTAAGACTTAAAACCAGGGAAAAGGTTAGAATTCTATTCAAGTGGTAGGTAAATACTGAAAACTCAAAAAAAAGATATGGACAAAGGTAAAATCTAATAACAAGTGCACTATAATTTTCTTCTGAAATTTTTTTTTTTCTCTATCCATTCTCCCTTTTATCAGGACCTGTTAGGAAGAGACATTATTTATTTATCTTCCAGGCAGAACTGTTTATGGTGCCAGGCAATCATCCGAGCTTTTGTTGGCTTTCTTGAGATCTACCTCAGTTCTTTAGCTTTCTGGTCATATCTTCAGAAATGACATTCCAGGGAACAGCAGTTAGCGTAATGGCTGTCGCTGGACTCTCACATAGTCGACCGCGGTTCGAGTCCTGGACCTGGTGACTTAAACTCACGCCGGGCACGTGTGTGCATGCCCAAGATCCTGAGAGGAAAAAGGAGGAGAAGGGATTGTGGCATGGCCATCCCCCCGGGGGGTGATTTTTCACTTTCTGTCTCTCGGTCTCTGTCTATCTGGTGAGCGCACACGCCCTAATATAACAAAAACAAAAAAAAGAAGAAAAGAAAAGAAATGACATTCCAGTCAAAGACCTGACAATAACCAGTATTTCCAATTTCTGGTGTAAGGCAACATAATATTCAACTTATGCAATTTTTCTGCCACAAAGTAAGAATACCACAATAAGGACACTCACAAATATTTTCCAATTCCAGAGGAATCAGAAAGTGAGGAAAGTTATGTTTCCATATCCAAAAAAGAAAAACAAATTGCTAAGCCTATCAACAACTCAAAAGAAGATAAAAATCCTTAAATCTGGAAAACAAAGCATAGGGGAAAAATCAGTAATGTTTTAATCTAAATTCATAAAATTCTATTTCTCCTGTACAGTCTCATGTAATTAACCTCTCTTCTGTTGAAATTGCAGTTACTGTGGTCTGATCTTTCCTTTTAAATTTTGGAAGTTAACGTTCCACATCATTACTGATATTCCCAGATTCATCCTTACCATTAAGTTGGCCATTCTCTTGGTTGCTTTTTGTACTCCTCTTTCTGTGTGTCTAACTTTAGTTTCCTGGTATAGCACTCCCTTCAGAACTTAGAGAGCTGATCTGGTATTGGTAAATTCTTTCAGGTTTTGTTTATCTGAGAATGTTTTTGTCTCTTCCCATATGAAGGATAATCTTGCAGGGTATAGTATTTTTTTGATAAATTGTTTTTCACTTAACACTTTGAATATATTTTCCCAATTTTTTCCTTGCTTGCATTGTTTCTAATGAGAGGTCTGACATTAGCCTGATGGGATATTCTTTGACGTTTCTCTAAACTGACAAAACAAAACAAA